GTGTTGATACTCCGCTGTCTGTCTGGGGGATCGTTCTTTCTCGTGGCCCAGCTAGCTAGCTAGCTAGCTACGGTGTGAAATTGTGTGTTGCGTGTGTTGCATAGGACCTGGGGGTTGCATGCAGTTTCTTGACATTGGGGCTGCCGTGCCAGTCGTTTGAGTTGTGGCTGAGCGGCCGCAAGAGCCTCTCTGTCCCCTTCAGGGACACGGAGACAGCAGCAGCACCGCGGCGGCTGCAGCCGCTCAAGGCGCTGCTGTCTCTCGCCAGCAGCATAGCAGCAGCAGCAGATAACACTGAGCAGCATGCTGCATGCAGCAGCTCCACACCCTTCCCCTTCTCCCTCATCCTCCCCCAGGCCACCACATGCCAAATCCTAGAATGCAGACTCAATCAACTCGGACATATTGTATGCTGCTGCTGCTGCTGCTGCTGTTGCTGCGGCTGTTGCTGCTGCTGTTGCTGCTGCTGCTGCTGTTGTTGCTGCTGTTGCTGCTGCTCATTCGGTTGCAGAAGGTCAAGCGAAGCATTCTATTTAACTCTTGCTGCTGCTGCTGTTCCTGCTGCTGCTGCTCTTTGGCTGTAGCTGCAGTGGCTCTGCTGCTGTTACAGCTGTTGCTGCTGCTGCTGCTGCTGCTGCTGCTGTCAGCTAGCAGCTGGTGCTGCAGCGTTTGCATTTGTGTCTCCCCCTGAGCTGTCTCCTTTTCTGCTGCTTCTCAGGTGCACCGGCCCGTGGCCGTGTGGCAGGTACAGGGGTTTGAAGCAGACGACCCGAGCTCCTTTCCCCTGCGGCAGCAGCAGCAGCAGCAGCAGCAGCAACAGCAGCAGCAGCAGCAGCAGCAGCAGCAGGAGCAAGAGTTCTATGGAAGAGATTTCGATTCACAAGACGACTCCGACAGCAGCAGCTCTTTCAGGTCTCCCCACGAGCTCGCCGAGGACGAGGAGGAGACAGCAGACACGCAGCAGGAGCAGCAGCAACAGCAGCAACAGCAGCAACAGCAGCAGCAGCAGCAGCAGAAACAGGAGAGCCGAGAAGCTTTCTTCCCCCCCTTTGCTGCTGATGCACAGCCACAAGTGCAAGAGGGGACAGACAGCGTGCTGGGGTATCCTGTGTGTGTACACTTCGGCCGCTACGTGCCGTCTAGCTCTCGCTCTGCTGCTGCCTGCAGTTGCTGCTGTTCTTACCCAGGTGCAGCAGCAGCAGCAGGAGCAGGAGCAGCAGCAGCAGCAGCAGATGGTCCCCCTGTACGGTTTGGTGTTATATGGTGCCGGTATGTTGTGGGGTGTGATGGGGCTGGCTCTGTGGTAAGAAAGGCGGGGGGTATTGCCTTCGAGGAGAAAGGAGACAGCCGTTCTTTTATAGTTGCTGACCTGCAGCTGTCTCCTTCTTTGTCTGCTGCTGCTAGCAGCAGCTGCACTGTATCTCCAGCTCAGTCTCCTGTTCTTGCTGCTTCTCCTCACCTCAGCAGCAGCAACACACCACCACAAACACCACACCCTCAAACAAACCGCAAGCCACCTGCTGTCTCCGGCTTCTTTGCTGGTGCTGCTGCAGCACATCGCTTCTTCTCTCTGGCTCAGCAGCAGGAACAGAACCAGCAGCAGCGGGGGGAGCAGCAGCTAGACGATAGGCTGCTGCAGCTGCCTTCATGGCAGTACCAACAGCAACAGCAGCAGCAGCAGCAGCAGCAACAGCAGCAAGAAGAAACCAGCTGCCAGCTGCTGGGTTGTGGGGGCCTCAGCAGCGCAGCAGGAGAGATGTGGGGGGAGGGGCTGATGCATGGCCTGGGGCGGCGGCTGCATGCAGCTGCTGCTGCTGCACTCGAACCAGGAGAGACAGAGAGAGCGCGGCTGATGGCGTCAGGCAGACAGACAGCAGCAGGAGACGCAGTGGAGATACACCTCACCCCCAAGGGCTTTGCTGCATGCATCCCGATGCTGAGCAGTGCTTCTGCAGCAGATGTAGCTTTGGCAGCAGAAGCAGCAAGCCGCAGGAACAGCAGCAACAGCAGCAGCAGCAGCAGCAGCAGCTTGCGGCAGCAGCAGCTGCTGCTCCGCCGCAGCACGAGAAACGCAGACGCAGCAGCATTTCGATGGAGGATCGTTACGGAGAGGCTTCCTTCTGCTGTTGCTGCTGCTGCAGCAGCAAGAAGCCCAATGGAGTACAGCGATGCTGCTGCTGCTGCTGCTGCAGCAGAAGACGGCGAGAGGCCCGGCAGCTCCGCAAGGAGACAGGAGACACAGGCGGAGACACAAGCAGAGCTGCTGCAGCAGGTTGAACGGGTACGCAGCAACAGCAGCAGCAGCAGCAACAGCAGCAGCAGCAGTTGTCTGATGCTTAAACCCTAAACCTGAAACCCTCAGCCCCTCTCTATACTATACTCCCTTACCATCAGCAGCAATGGCGCAATGCCTTCGTCTGTATCCACTGCTGTTGCTGCTGCAGCTGCTGCTGCTGTTGCTGTCTCTACTGATGCAGCAGCAGCAGCAGCAGCAGCAGCGGGTTCTTTGCGCGTGTGTGGTGTTGTGTACGTGGTAAACAAGAGCGGAGTTGCTACTATAACATTATTGCTCCTGCTGCTGCTGCTGTTGCTGCTGCTGCTGCTGCTGCTGCTGTTGCTGCTGCTGTTGCATGCGTGTGTGTGTAGATATTTGTGGGGTGTCGCGTGACGGAAGTGTACTGGGCTGCAGTGTATAAGACAGCGGTGCGGGTTGCTGCTGCTTTCCGCCGCCGCCGGCTGCTGCTGGTGGGGGACGCAGCTCACGTACACCCCTCCATACTAGGCCAGGGAATGAACCTAGGCATGCAGGTCAGCAGCTACTTCTTTTTTTATTTCTTTTTCTCTTTCTTTTTCTGTTTCTTTTTCTGTTTCTTTTTCTGTCTCCTTTTCTGTCTCTTTTTCTGTCTCTTGTTCTGTCTCTTTTTCTTTCTCTTTTTCTGTTTTTTTGTTTGTTTCTTTTTTTGTTTCTTTTTTTGTATCTCTTTAGTATTGATTACACTTCCCTGGCGCCTTTTGTGTTCTCTTACCTTCTGTGTTGCTGTAGCGTCTTGGGCTTGTTGCTGCTGCTGCTGCTCACTAGCCTTTCCTTGTCTTTTGCTGCTGCTGCTGCTGCTATTTCTGCTGCTGCTGCTGCTGCTGCTGCGTGTATCTTGCTGCTGCTGCTACAGAACGCATACAACTTGGGGTGGAAGCTGGCCCGCGTGCTGCAGCAGGGGGCCTCCCCCCAGCTGCTGGACTCCTACGCGGATGAGGCGAGAGAAGCAGCAGGTTAGCAGCAGCAGCAGCAGCAGCAGCAGCAGCAGCAGCAACAGCAGCAGCAGCAGCACATGGGGACAGAAATTAGAAACAGCGAATACACCCCCCGTAGAGCACCCACACACAGACACCAAACAGATAAGCTCGGCTGAAGGAAAACACCACATAAATACATGTATACACATACATACATACGTATACATATATATATATATATATATATGTATATATAA